TTGTCGATTTTTGTGAAAATTACTTGCTCAATTTGACTATATGATTCCAATTTAAAGGTTTGTTTCTGGGATAAGCTGGGCATTGGGTAGACCTAGGAGAAAAGGCTTGTATTCTGATTTTAATTTTGTGACATTATTTCAAAATGAAATGTGACTTCTTCGCATATTTTGTGACTGCTAACCCCCGTTAAGATTTTGCAATATGATTCATTGCTAAAGGTTCGGCTCATGGTTATGAAGCGATTACCCCAAAAGTATGTCTGTCTTACCAGAAAGAACTTTGTTTGGTCACAATGTTTTCATTTATTACAAGCGATGAGTTAAGTTGGAGAACCACTAGGTCAGTGGTTATTAAACGGTGGGGTGTGCCCCACAAGCGGTCGTGGACAATTTTTTGAGTGGGGGTGAAGCTAATTAAAAAAATATTTGTTAGATTTGATCTTGCCCGCCTCCTTTTGGATATTTACATTTCTTATTTTGTCAGCTAAAAACAACTACCCTAATGAAAATAACAACGAATTTTGCTTGTTTTTAAAACTTTCTATTTATTTCATTATTTACGTTCCATCCACGAAATGTACTTTCGCCTTACTATCTGTTATTTGTAGCTTATTTTTAGCTATTTATTTTTGAGGTGGGGCGCGAGACTGACAAATTCTAAAAAGGGGGCGCGGCTCAAAATTTTGAAAACCACTGCACATAGGTATTAGAACGATAGGAAATGAATAATTGAGGCTGTATAGTTACAAAATGAATTTTAATGCATTCTTTACTTCTAACAATGTAACAAATCTGGTAAAAGCTGTTCGTTGTATAATGCATGTAAATTAATACTGAGCAAGCGCTCGTATGTGTAGCCTTCGTGTAGAGTTTCAATACATTAAACGGGATTAATTAATGAATCCTGCCATAATGTCCTACTGCTATTGAAGGGACAATTATGCTTCATTGTTCGGTATAACGACCGGAAAGATATACTTCAATGTTGTATTATAGATGGGCGACGACGGGGCACATCATCTCAGGTCAATGTTTGAATATATATACTTCACCAGATGGTTTGGATTTATTTGATATTTGAGCGTATGGGATTGCATAGTCATAATTACCATACGATTAATATTATATTTCAAATGCAAACAGTATATTTACAGAAAGTCTTGCAGATGGCGAAGTTAAAATTGGGTATTCACGTAGTGTGTGTACCAGTTCAGAGTTAGGCCACAATTTTATTCCGATTTTCTTTATTTTAGTTCTAGTGGGAGTTCGGGGACTGTCTGTGTTAGCCAAGTGAATATACCCCCTGCCCGTAGGTTTCACCCTTCACCCAACTTGATGTAAAATAGGCGAACAAAATAAGTTACCTTCATATTGGTACACATACTTGGCGCCCAAGATTGTGATATACGGAAAACTCATCTTAGTATTTTTGTTAACGGGCTATTTTGAACTGTATGAACGTCAGCAAAACTATTTAATTTGCAAATTAAATCGTTTTGCTAACACCGGTTGTGCTTCATTTATCATCGATATGAATTTTTCCGTTGGCAATAATGCCTTGGTTAAGGTATATTGAGAACTGGGAACTCCTGAAGTATGCGCACCAAGATGGCGCACAACCTGAACTCAGGTTGTGCACCAGGTTAGGGTTCAGGTTATGCGACATCTTAGTGCGCATACTTCAGGAGTACCGAGAACTGAATTCAGACCAAAATTGAAATTGTAAAGGGACTTTATGGACACTCTGTATAGTTCTATATTTTTATATGGAGCTTATCCCTTGTCTCAATATTTTCGGAATGACGCGTGGAACCAGGAATACTTTTGCAAGTTTGCTAACCTATGGTACTGCTATACTCGTTTATTTCATGAGTCATCCCAGGCCCACTTACACAAAAGAATGTATCAAACGTTATGTGATACCGAAGCCGACGATGTAGGTCCGGATATCCGGAGGTGCCGGTTATACATTTTGATTTTTAACTTGTGTGTCAATGCAACGCAATAGTGCTCTTCTATATAGTTATATATATTTGACTTGCAAATTGTGTGTTAATATTACATATATACATATAAAGTTCGATAATCGTATTTGTAAAAAAAGCCTGAATTTTTTCAAAAGAAAATCAAAAATCCCTTTGCATTGTAGTACATTCTTCTGTAAACTGAAAATTCCGGCTTTGGCTCCGACCATATGCTCTAAAAATTGAGAACATCAGTTTCAGCGTAGAGAATTTTTCTATGGGTTTTTATGTGTCGTTAGTAGAGTGTCTTAAAATGAGATAGATGCGTATGTAGGGAGATTTATTGTTTTGTTAAATCATACATTATGTTATATAATCAAGAATAACATAACTCAAAAGTAAAAGATTTCATTAATTGACTGGATACAACGATGCAGCCACCCACGGTTATGAGTATGCAACCAGATTGACAGGCGTAAATATTGAATAATATTTCTAAAAAGGGAATTTTTGCCTTTGTGGAATACATTTTCCATCCCAGACGGGGAGGTTTGGGGAGCCGAAGTGGAAATCGGAGCCGCGATATTTTGCGTGAAGTCGGGGCTGAAGCATGCATGGTAGTGACCACCCTTAGAAACCTCAATAGCGCATTTTTGTCTCATTTCGTCCTCGTGTAGTCTAGAGGAGGAGGAAAAGGATGATTTACATATTTATCCCGGGGGAGAGGAAAGCCCATGGGCTTGCACGGCCTCTCGTCCAGTCCGTGTCGAATATATGATTAGTTAGCCAGTTATTTGTTTTCATATGCATGGACTTGATGATGGAGGAAGCAATCCTTTCGCACGTAATTAACCCCGCATGCTAATCCACGCGGGGGGATTAGAGGTGCGATGATGAGCATATTTCTGACGCGTAGCACGATGCGCCACACCGCCGAGGACAGCAATGTTCATATTACATATTAGTTGTGTGATCTGTCAATGTCGCTAAAATAATAGCGATTTTCCTTCCCGAATATCATATTCAGAGTGCACTGTCGGATGTCCTTGTGTTATGCGTTTTTTAAATATGATGTTGAGGTCAATATGTTCCAAAATTTAGCGCAAACTTCACAAATAATTCGTGGTAACGCTGTGTCATTTAATTGGTTTAAATTCACTTCCTTTCTTCAGTGAGAAACGAGTTCAAATAATTGTGTTTTAGTGCAAGTTAGAAGAGTTATTTATTTGTATGTCGGTCGAATTATTAGTATAATCATTATTGAATGTTGTGCAAATATAATTTACTGAACAACCAGCGATGTTATTTCTAGAACACCAAGTTTGTTAAATATTAATAAAACACCCGACATTCTCATTACGATAATACATCCAAGTATCTCGTCATATGATCATTCATAGACAGTGTAACATTGACAATCAAGGGCATTTCTAGGCCAAAACAACCTCAGTGGGCAATTTTGAGTTTGTCAAGTATTAAGTTAAGGCCAATTTGTTTCTAAAAGTGACAGATGACAGTATAACATTGACAATCTATGGGAAATTTGAGGCAGTGTTGGTATCAGCAGATTATTGTTGAATTGTTATAGATTAGAAGTAAAGTTATTGGTACTCCTGTAGTATGCGAACCAAGATGGCGGACACCGCAACGTAGTATTAGGTTAGGGTTAGGCCATAATTTTAATCCAATTTATCTCATTTTAGTTATACACGAGTTCGGGACTAGACAAGTGACTCCCGTAGTATTTGTACCTGGAATTATGGCCCAACTCTAATCTGGCACACATACCACGTTCTGGTGTCCGCCATCTTGATTCGCATACTACAGGAGTACCCTGTTATTACACTCTTTGTAGATCATACACATAACTATTTAAGTGCATAGATTTAATCTGATATTGTGATATATATTAAGCTACTTTCCACCTGACTTTGTTTGGACTTCTCCATAGTTAAAGTTTAATAGTTTCTGGTCTTAGTTTATAGGGTTCATTGTGTCAATATGACCCACCTGACAATATCAACATTTAATAACAACAGCCAATACGCGAGAAAAATCAGTAGTGAGAGGTGTTTGAAAATTTCTAGTATCATTTTTGGAATATTTTTATTGCATTAAAATACGTGACCTCGGCTATATTCATACCAAAATTTCAAAATATTGTTTTTACCTATTGTCTGTAAAACGTCGAATAGTTGCTGTGCAGGTTATTTTTTTTCGATTGTACTTTTTTCATACCTCGGTAAAATTAGATCGGTGTAATTTGCTAGAATGTTTTTCGAAGGTATTTATATCATGAGTTTTACTTCCCACGTACCGGACAATTCAGATTACCAATGATGTATATTCAATTCACTTCCTCGCTGTTCACACAAAAAAACGAAACTAAAAGTTTATTTGGTATTTCTGAGAATGGCGGGTGGTAGTGTTCAAGCTAGCTATTATGTTCTGAAGCCTAAAGCAATCGAATGCTTTTGCGAATGATAAAAATAGAGTTTTTCATTAATAAATCCCAATGTTATTAGTGTAGTGTAATAAAGGCATACCGCCAAGAGGGTCCTCCGGTAGTGTGTGTACCACGTTAGGCCATAATTTTATTCCGATTTTCCTTTTTTAAGTTCTATTACGAGTTCGGGACTGTTTGTGATAGCCAAGTAAATATACCCTCTGCCCATGTGTGTACCACGTTAGGCCATAATTTTATTCCGATTTTCCTTTTTTAAGTTCTATTACGAGTTCGGGACTGTCTGTGATAGCCAAGTAAATATACCCTCTGCCCATAGGTTTCAGTCCCTTCACACAACTTGATGTAAAATAGGCGAACAAAACTAGATACATCCGCATTGGTACACACACTTCTGGAGCGCCATCAAGAGTACTAAAGCAGCAGATATCGAAGAGCATTGATCGAATACTCTAGCTGAAAGGCATTTATATTTGATTAGAAAATTGAAATTCATGAATGTTATTTTATCATTTTTACTCCCATTATTCAGTATTAAGTTGTATATGATGTAGCATCTTAATGTTTATTAGATCGAGGACGCGCTGGAATTTCTGCGGGAACTGAAGACACATTGGACGGCGAAGATACTGCTATGCGATTGGCAATGGAATTACCAAATCATAACTGGCTCGTCAAACATCTAATCAAGGAAAACAAAATTAAGGTTAGGAAATGTTTTTTTATACAGTTAAGAAAGTCTTCCTGAATGCATGATGCATTATGTCAACTATTAACAATTCCTGCGCAACGTTAAGTTTGTAGAAGATTTGGTACTCCCGTAGTATATGTACCAGGTTAGGGTTAGGCCATAATTGAATTCTGATTTTTCGATAAACTGAGCATATATTTTAGTTCTATTTTGAGTTCGGAGACTGTCTGTGTTAGCCAATGAATATACCCCCTGCCCATATGTTCCATTCCCTTCACACAACCCGATGTAAAATATAGGCGAACAAAATTAGTCAACTCCATATTGGTACATACACTTCTGGAGCGCCAAAGATTTTGCCTCCCCCAGCTTGAGAGTCCAGTTTTTATTTACGGAATACTTATGAAAACAAAATGTAAAGAATGATATACCTGATGGTAAATTGCCTTTTTAATACTGGTCACTCAGTATTTCCTATTCTTTTTTGATAAACTTCTCTTTTGCCCACGTTGAATCTCATTTTTCGTCCTTCACTAAGCATTAAAGGGTCATAAACTAGTGATACGATACGCGCAAAACGCACTCTGGCTTTCGCATAATTTGAATAGGGAATAGTTCATGTTTCCATGAATATATATTACAAGTATACTAAATTTCAAATGAGTATTAGGTATAAAACACCAAATACGAAGTAATATTTCCACCCCAAGACAACAAAATCAAACCCTCCCCTCTGGTTGGGAATCGTTACACGATCGTTACCTAATATTTTATTGAAATGACAGGCAGAGGACGACAAGCCATTGAACAACAACCAAATTCAAGAGTCGAATGCGGGAGAACAAAGTGCAGGATTAGAACCCGCCACCAATCCGAGTATACCTACTACTGTCAAAGATCAGTACAAGGTTGGCAATTCAGCAGAGGGTGGAGGTTTAAAAAACAACGATCCAGCGAACAACAGCGATCCGGACAAAAGCAGGGACGTTGACTCTCAAACGAATTCAGAAAATTTGAAACCTGCGTCGACTGGAGTGAAAGGTATGAAAAGAAAACTGAATATGTGATACGATACAGTAATGGTATTATTGCTTTTAAAAATCAGTTTCAGTTCGAAAAATGTAACAAAAATTGTACTTTTGTTGCCCAGAGGGTATCGAATATTTAAACTTATAAAGAGAAATCATTTTTTCACAGGATATTAACTGATTAGATCGATTTTGTTTACAAAAACCACTAAATTCTTGAAAATTACTAGTAAATGAATAAATAGTATTATATGCATATTCAATAAAAATTATTCATTTCATATTATATAATGCAGGAATTGTATCTGCTAAGAAACAATGTTGTGTTATTTAGTTTTGTATATAGATTGTGAAGCCAATTACATTTAGACAAAATTAAGAAGATGCTTAAAACCGATACTGTTCCGAATTCGCAAATGATAATTGAGTAATTCAGGGAAAATGGAAGCGTTGAAATATTATCAGCCGGAATTTAGCTTTCGACGGGTCTCAAATTACCGTTTTACAGTGAATGTTTGTAACACCATAACAATATGTCTCTCAGGAAGTCATACGAAATTCTAAACTTTTTTAATTTTTTCCCCCGTGGTATGTGAACCAATACGGCGGACACCGGAACGTAGTATGTGTACCAGGTGAAGGATAGGGCATAATTTCAGGTACAAATACTACGAGAGTCACTTGGTTTGTCCTCGAACTCGTAATAAACCGATACACATACTACGTTCCGGTGTTCGCCATCTTGGTTCACAATTTACGGGAGTATCGAATTACATTATCTGATCAACTTGGGGTCAAACATCCTATACAAGTGCATCGCTGAACATGTACATTTTTGTTTTAGGTTCATTCATGGTTGGCATAGTGAAACCATTTGACCATTTGATAAAAATGTCGCCAACAAACCTGGAGGCCTGTCGTGGTGAAACGAGTCCACCCCCTCTATGTATAATAGACGAGGAAGAATCGTATAATGACAACAGCAATGGCGACGCCACCCTTGGCCCTGCCGTTGAACAATGTGTAAATAAAAACTCCGCTGTATCCAGTTCATGTTCTGATCTCCTGGCACCTTCATGTATAGATTCCCTCACTGTTGGCAACGCCACGGGAAAGCAATCATCACATGGGAATATAGACAAGGCGACTAAAGATTGCATTACAACTAAAGGTTGTAATATACCTATGGATATAGTTGGGCACCATCACAAAACATGCCAAGTATACACAACAATGCCAGTGAGGAATGGCAATGAAAACTCTGCATCTTCTCACAAGGAAATGCCATCGGATTTAAAAAATGCCATACATAACATTAAAAATAACGCGGAAGTAATAAACTTCACTTCCGGGTTGACCTATAATATAAAAAAGTCGGTCAATGAGCAATCTAATGATGATGTTGCAGTAGATGAAAATCCAGAAACGGATCATGATATTAAAATATCAAATTGTGTTTCACTTGCGTTAGATTTGAGAAAAACAACTATAGAAAATCCGGCGACCGACAATCAACCTTTAGATTTGTCTTTGAAATCAACGAACTCCCAGTTATCACCTAAAATATTAGACTTATCTGTTAAAAAAGCGATTGAAAATATCCAAAACCAAACTAGCTCGTCCCATGAAAAGGCTGCAAATTTATCAGTTTCTAAAATTGTGAGCAAAAAAGAAGAACAACCGGCCCAAGTTCAAATCACAAAACCAGTTCAAGAGCAGGTAATAATCATTGATGACGATGTCACGTCACCTTCGGAAAGTGCAAGTGAAAAACCAAACCAACATCCACCTGCCGGCATTTCTAGGAACACCGTCCTAAAACGCCCCGAATCTACCAAGTCCGACGATGGTCCGCCAGTGAAAAGATGTGCTTCATTAGACTCTACTAATCCGCAGGTATGGGACTATTAAATTGTTTTATTTTGTTTTCTTGGAAACGCTGGATTTAATGTTATATAATATTTTTGTATATGTAATTTTCTATGTAAAATATTTTCTTTCGTGTCTTGACAATTTTGAAAACACAAAAATCAATGCCAACAATCAATCGTTATTGTTAACCAGATTGAGCAGAAGCCTTTGTGTACCATAATTTTCTATGTGAAATATAGTCTTGATAATTTTGAAAACACAAAAATCAAAACCCGAAGTAATTAAACTGTATTAGTTATTCGTTATTATTGCCAGAATGTTACAAGGCAGAAGCTTTCTGGTTACCCGCATGTGTTATACATGCCTGTAGGCAATTCATTGTGTATTTATTTGTAACTTACATCTTGTGTTGTATTTCAGGGCAATTTATTCTCTTCATCGCCAAAAAGAGTGCGAGATGTGAGACGTTCTCTCGATGAGGTAAAACGGACAAGGATTGAAGACAATTTATCGCCTAAAAATGTAGTTAATAGAAATAAAATCTTACAATATAAAACAGACCATCCCCCAGCTTTAAAACAAACTGTGAATGGACCTGGTGGTTCGGTCATCCATTACAATAACGCAGTTCATAGTTCACCAAAATCCCGGAAGGATGGAAGCTGGGCAAGTGGTTTGGAGTTGAGGCCGGGTATTCCAACGTTACCGTCACATTTGCCTCCGGTTCCTCCGAGTAAGAAAATTGAAGCAACTACCCTTCCACCACGTCAAGCTGTACCTGCTTCTCACTACACGCCTGGCGTTAATAGAAATACCCACAACTCTCAGTCAAATTCTCAGATTCCTATTCCTGCCAACTCGGCACAAAAACTGAACTCTCAATTTCATACAAAGAAACAAGTTTCTGGAATTCCCAACATGACTCCGCAGCAATTGGTAGCACAAGCCTACGACCAATATGATATTAATCACCTTGGACCATATATCAAACAACAGCAAAATGAGATTGATAAAAAGATAAAAGAACTTGAGAGGTTGAAAAACGCACTCATTAAAGTGCAACATGAGAAACCAGCAAAGGCCTCGCCTACACACACGGTTGTCTGTTCTTCGTCTTTCCCAATTCCTATACCGCGTCAGATTCCCTCTAATCAGAAGAGCTTGCCCCCAAAACATCACCCGTTTCCTTATGCTAAAAATGAAAATTTTCATCAGGGCCACCCTCGTCAATTACAGCCATCTCAAATAAGTCCTCCACGCATTCAGCATGCTTCGTCCAAGCCATCGCACATGATGCCTCAGTATCGTCAGTCAATACCGCTAACTACCCAATTCGGACAATTCCCTCCGCAATATATGCGTTCAAGGCCAGCGCAGCAACAACCACCAATTCAACAAATGCGATCTCCATTGTACGGCCAGAGACCAGTCGGTTATCCACAATACCAAGCTCGTGTTCCATCCCCACAACAAGCCTTGAATAGGCCCCCCGGGTATGGCCCATCACAAGTTTTTTCCTCCAATGCGTCTTTAACAGCAACTGCTGCACCAGCGAATCATATGTTCCGTGCACCACAACAAATCCAACATCAGACAGTCAGACAAGCACCACAACAAATCCAACATCAGACAGTCAGACAAGCACCACAACAAATCCAACATCAGACAGTCAGACAAGCACCACAACAAATCCAACATCAGACAGTCAGACAACGGCATCCAGGACAAGTCGTGTCCAAACCAACACAACCTGTTTATCGAAATGGTGGATTAACAATAAATGGGGGCGAAACGAAAACAAAACTGGATGAACCAATCATAATCGAGGATGATATCAATTCCAATTTAAAGCTGATCAGTTCCAATACTCCCGTTTCGCATGTTACTCGAGTTGATGCCCTCAAAGCACGACGATCACATAGTTTTCATCCTCCATTATCAAAGAATCGAACAAATCCACAACAAACTCCTAAACAATGGATGTCATCTGCAATGAGCCAAATGACAGCTGCAAGATTTTCCAGAGGTAATTTTAATGTCGTTGTCAATTATTTTCTATTATATAAGTATGGAGAATAAGCTCTCTGGTTATTGCACGTGGATATAAAAGGCTGATCGTAACTCTTTGAGTAGATATTTAAATTTATATAATATGTCTTTTAGTAAAAACAAATTGTGGCACTTCTTACGACATTGCACGATTGCGGCAGCCACTTATGTTATGTGTATGAAGCTACCTGAGACAACTATTATTTTTAATCCGGCATAATTTACTCAATTTCGCTATCTTGATGGCGTTTGTTCCACGATCTATGGTGTTGGGCTTGTGGTTTTGTCTTCTAGTACTAAATTTCTAGAATTCCAATTCTTTATGCTGATCCATTTTGAAACAAGTCAAGCATTTGAATTTGAGCACAGAATTGTAACACACAATGATATGCCATGAATCTCCGTTCTGTAATTTAATCGCACTAAATGTCCAGGCGTTATTTGAAGGGATAGGAATACAAAAACGTGAAATGAATAAAGAAAACGTTATACAAACCTGAAATGACTTACATAGAATATTCTATCCAGAATATTTCCGCCGAATTTAGTTTCAATTCGAATTTGTTTTAATTTTTTTCAAAACAGCAAATCATGGAATAGATAAAAAAAAGGATCAATATTCTTCTTCTTCTTGAAATTCCATTCAAACAATTATTTTCCTAAATTTTGTTTACAAATTGCATTTTTAACATTTTTAGACTCATCTCACCCTTCAATTCCTGAAGCTGTCGGCGAGGTTTGTGTGAAATGCCGAGAAAAAGCATTCTTTCTTTGCTCTGGGTGTCGGAAAGTTTGGTATTGCAGTAAGAAATGTCAGGTATGTGAATTTCCATTTATTTATCTTAACCGTTTTTCGATTTGAAGTAAAGAAAAATTCTCGAAAAATTTTGACCCAATTATATTAAATCAGACTTTCACGATAAAGGCAATTTCAATAGCTGTATTTACGTGTTCAGCTCCTACCAAATAAAACCTTTTTCAACTGAATTTACATCGTTCATTAAAGCATTAATTGCAAGTTGTTAAGGCATTTACACATTTTTAAATTATCTAATTGAGTAATAGAGCAGAAATGACCTAATCCAATATAATAGAATTAATGAAACTGTTTGACTTCGACGGTAGCATTCCATATAACGATACATTGAAGCACGTATCAGCGAAATCTGGTGTTCACGACTTGGGCCGGTTGCAATTCGATTCACAACTCAAGTATTATCATAATGCAAATTTGGGATTTTTGATTTTAGTGTGAATTTACAAAATTTATTTCACAGTTGAGCGACTGGACCACTCACAGTTCAAAATGCAACGGCTGAATAGCGAACCAAAGATGAAATTAAAGCATGTCTACAGAAAGCTTAAATCAGCAAATGTATCTATCTAAAACTGAAAGACTATTTTTTTCACGCACAATGGAGGCATCAATAAATCCACTGTAACAAAACGCAGGTCCCCATTCGCCGAGTCCCCTACGATAGGATAAATGAGCCACTCTCAGTATTGCATAAACAATGATTATTTATTGAAATCCAATAGTACGCAATCGACCTATTGAAATTGTGGGATTTGGCAGACACATATCTCGGTAACATCGTTCGTTTAGTACTTTAGAACATACCATGTATATTAATTCACTAAAATTAGATTACTTGTCGTTTACCTTCCAGCTAATGCAAAGAGTAGAAATAGATCAGCTGAAATTTTGCCGAAATCAAATTTATTTACTCTAATTGATATATTTTGATGCTTCCAAAACACCATCCACACGTAGCTCAATCATAGCTAATTATATCCATCGATGACCTTAGTGGACCTATGGATCGGTTTGGTATTTTTGTTGTTGTTCTTCTCTTTGATTACTGAACCAATTGCTTTAAAATTGATCAGTGGTTGAGGATGGACTTTTTCTCTAAAAGGCTAATACTTTTATTTATTTTTAAATTTCGTATGAATTATATGAAATTTGATATTTTGTCCAAAATTTCGTCGGAACTTTTTTTAGGTTACCGCTAGCGTCAAAAGAAGGGAGGACTGATTCAATCTGGTCCACGTGTACATATACAAAGAGGAAACCAATATATAAATTGCATCTCAGAGTATCATAGCTATACCACCCTTGCAGTGCTGGGATTTAGGGGACTCGCTCAGAACCTTTCTCAAAATATTGAATCACATCACTGACCACTTGTATTTATAACGGAGTTGAACAATACGTTGTTATCCGGTTAATTGATGAAAATCTGTCTTTGGATCAAATTCAGTCCGTTTAAAAATCAATTTAATTTATTATAATTTAAAAAAAAATTTGAAAATCTGAATTTGAATACAAGCATTCAAAATGCAGGCGCAGAGGTTCACTGGAACAGGTCATCTCAATTGTGAACCCGGAAATCACTCACGAACCCGGAAGTTGAATGCACTATTTTGTTATTACGGCATTCAAAATAGAGAATATGAGCGCGGCACAAATATTCTAACCGAATTTATTTCCGTTTCATTGGGATATATGAGTCAAGCAATATTCACTTAATATATGGACATTATTATGTGTAACTGCAACATTTCATTGGCTACTAAACAAAGCTGTCTGAAAACTTTTGGCAAACTTCGTGGCCGCCTGATGATGATATTTTTTGCTTGGTCTGGGCAAACATTTTTGCTAAGTATGTAACAAAGCATTGGTATTCACTGACGAAACACAATGAAATATTCAAACGCTTTTATTTAGGCATTCGCTTTGTCTGTTTTTAATATTTTATATATTTTTGTAAGGAACAGTATATAATAAGTGTGATTTTCACTTCTTAAATTACGACGAAAAAAATCAACTTTCGAAGCATAAACAAATCGTGGAACAACAATCAGGCTCATGCGAACTAATTTGGTTAATTTCGTACTTCATTGTGACACACAAAACAAATTTATTATTGCAAGGTAACGTCCGACTTGTGAAATATACTGGTTTCAACATTGTTGAAATAAATTGTTGTAACGAGTGCCTTTAAAGTAATATACATTTCAAGCGATCACATTTTTTTAATACTATTTATCGTTATAAGACCACAAATATATTTTTACAGAATATAAATAAAAACATAGTTTAAATTTGATATAATTTGGAGATCAACCTTTTGCACCATCAAAATCAGCTCAAATTTGTCAAAAGCACCAGTTAGTCTACTGACACAGGCAAACTACGACCCGCGGGCCAAATCCAGCCCGGTGAGTCATTCAATCTGGCCAGCCTTATGCTTTCACAACCAAACTAAAACCAAATTTTGATGTTTTAGCTGAAAAATAGCTCAAGGAGTTTGTTGAGATTGCGATTGTATTTAGTTAACAGTGTAAAAATTGTTTATGAAATGTAACTTTTTACGTTACACTTACATGGCCCGCCAGTCCAGGTGGGCTAAATTTTCGGCCCCTGGTCCAAAACCTTGCCCACTCCTGAGCTAGGATATTCCGTCTCTTATTCTTCCATTACCACCGTGCCGATAGAAATTTTTGCAATACAAAAACTATACGAGCTTTTGAAATTAAATTTTTGACACATTATGCTACAAATATGACATTTTGGTAACCTGTGGCATACGATCGTACCACTGATTAGCAGATGTATATTTTCTATGATTCTTATGCATCAATTACATACTTTTCGTTGCTACTCAGTTTCAAACATCTATCGTTCCATACTTTTTAGTATGTACCTTTTTTCTCTCTTTTTAAAATTCGCCATTGTTTTATGTAATTTACAATGCGATTTTTATTTTTCCTCTGCTGAACTGTTCCATTTTAGAGCAATCAAGGTTGAACTATCTCGTGAAAGTTGTAATAAAATTTACTTTTAATTTTTCATCGTATGTGCTAACCATGTGTACTTGATCCGATTCACCTGTTTTTCCTTTACTTAACTCTCGCCTATTCTTGAATTTTTAAGTCGCATTATATTTGCTAACTCAGCAACAGAACTGATTTCTATTGGGTGCTTCTTAATGTTATAGGATTACCAATATAGAATTGTACCATGACATAACTAAATTAATAGGGAGTTAATTAATATCCCTGAAATTTTTTTAAATAGTTTTGCAATATAATTTCCTGAAAATCGATCAAAATAAACACCGAAACTTGCAGTACGTTTTCTAATCTTACAAACAAATACTGACAAATGATCAAGTACATCTCTTCCAGTTCCATTAGGCCTGGATGATTTATTAGGCACTGAAATTTTTATTCGAATTACCAATTTTACAAAAGTATGCAATATTCTACTTTTATATACTAAACATTTTACTCGCTTGGAAAGTCAAATCCTGGGTATTTTTAGATTTCTTTTTCTCCTGCTATTCATAAATTTGAATTTAAAAAAAAAAATTAACAAATTCTGACTTAGTTGCATACGAACAAAATTTTTAATATGTCAATATGTATAGTTTTATTTTTTGATAATTTATTCTTTACAGATATATTAATTAATTTTTATGCTATTTATTCGATTGTGAATATTAAAATGAAAAATAAAAGAGCAAACGTTTCTTTTGTTTCCAGCTTAAATAGAGGATTTCGGATTTAGCCTATTCGAACTTCTATCAATTGATTCTACTGCCATCTACTTAAAAGTATTTGATTAACTATAATCATGTTGATTTCTTGAGGCTCCAACGTTTTGCTCTAAAGAAATTCTGCTGTTTTTGAGTGGGCGCTTGGAAATCGATGATAACAAATAGTTTCAAAAGTGGTGCGCTGCGGATACTTCCGTAGTACCGGGTCAAATACGAATTAGGGTCAGGCCATAATTTGATTCCGATTTTCCTTTAGCTTTCCCGTTGAACTGAGAATATTTTAGTCCTATTACAAGTTCGGGGACTGCCTGTGCTGGTCAAGTAAATATACCCCCTGCCTATAAGTTTCAGTACCTTTATACAATTTGATGTAAAGTAGGCGAAAAAAATTAGTTACCTCCATATTGGTACATACATCGAGCAGTTGCGGACTCTGCCGACGGAACAGAACAATTGGATTTAAACCCCATTTGGGCCTAGAACAAGCTTATCTTGACTTTGTTCCGATGATTGAGAACATATACCTGGATGACGCAGCTGTTGACCGCGTTTTGAACCTTCAAAATGGACGTCCCTTCACGTCGTCAGGCATAATTTCCTCGTTTTATAGAAGAGTTATTCAATTGAATGAGCATAATTGATAGCTTCAAGCAAAAATTGGGCGCTCCAGAAAGAAGTGTGTGTACCAAGATGGAGGTAACTAATTTTTTTCGCCTACTTTACATCAAGTTGTGTAAAGAAACTGAATCCTATGGGCAGGGGGTATATTCACTTGGCTAGCACAGACAGTCCCGAACTCGTAATAGAACTAAAATAAAGAAAATCGGAATAAAATTATGGCCTAACACTAATCTGGCACACAATACGGAAGTATCAAAAATTGTGTTTGAACTCATTCAAGACAATTTCTGACTTTTAATAACTCGGTAGATGCGGCAATACAGAAAAATTGTCAACAAATCTCAAAGTTATTAATTCGCTGTGGAATACGTCCTCTGAACGAGGCGAAGCATTCAAACATTTAAGGAAAAATTGTATCGTCCTGGTTCACACAACTACGTCAGTTATAAACACCATTAAACATTAATAATAATCTGTGGCATTTTCAAGAAAAAAAGTACAGAAAATATAGAACCTTGTTTTAGGTGAAATATCTGGGCGCTTTTGAGCTGGGGCGCAAGATTCGCGGTTTAAAGAAACGATTTGAATCAAATTTAAACAGACAAAAAATAAAATATATATAGTCTACTAATTCATTGATAATCATGGTGGATTTAGGGTACTCCCGAAGTGTGTGAACCAAGATGGCGGACACCGGAACGTAGTATGTGTATCAGGTTTGGATTAGGTTATAATTTCAGGTATAAATACTGCTAGAGTCGCTTGGCTACTCCCGAACTCATAATAGAACTAAAATAAGGAAAATTGGAATAAAATTATGGCCCAACTCTAACATGGTACACATACTACGTTCCGATATCCACCATCTTGGTCACATACTTCGGGATTACCGGAATTGAATGGAATTGAATTCTGCCCCCTCCGAACAGTTCGTTGGGCAAAATGTATGAAGTAGCTATTGATGGGCGGGGTGGATCTGAGTCCCCAAAATGGAAAGAATATTAAGTCATTGCACTCAACAGTATTTGAATAATTTATTTGGAGGTAAAACTGTAGTTTCCCTGTTTAAGAAGTGAATCTGGAGGTTTAAAGATAAAAATGGTAATAATTCAATATATTAATGCGTTTCATTATAACGCATGTTTTGACTTTTGCTAATTAAAACATTAGCTCCGTCCATCTATGAAAAGCATTATGAATATGGTGTAACTCGCACGAAAGGATAACAAAATACATGCACAATTCAGCATGTTTGACAATAAGGTAATCATTTATTTTATACAGAGTAATTAAAACATTAGCTCCGTCCATCCATGAAAAGCATTATGAATATGGTGTAACTCGCACAAAAAGATAACAAAATACATGCATAATTCAGCATGTTTGACCATAAGGTAATCATTTATTTTATACAGAGTAATTAAAACATTAGCTCCGTCCATCCATGAAAAGCATTATGAATATGGTGTAACTCGCACAAAAAGATAACAAAATACATGCATAATTCAGCATGTTCAACCGTAAGTAAGGTAATCATTTATTGTATACACGATTCATCTTATTAGAGTTTGAAGTCACACTTATTTCTACAACAAAATAAATAATCTTCCTCTCTCTCTGATTCAATAATTTGCCCCATGGAGTAATAGCCATACGTTACATTTAAAAAATTATTTTTCAGTTGCTACCAATTGAATTTTCTTCCTAATAATTTGTATAATTTTTGATTATACGGAGCATAAAACCTGCGAAGTTTTGTTATTGAAATGTCACGAGGTTTTCCAGATTTTCCCATTCTAGTTCTGCCTTTGCTCCTGCTCATACAGTGCGGTTTTGTTTTAGAGACCACGACCTTTCCATCATGTGACACCACAACAGGATGCGAGAAGCAGTAAAATCCAGTATCGCTCCTTGTAAGATCTTCCGATATGATGAATTCCGGAATACGTAGAAATGTTTGTAGCTGCGATGAAAACAAATAAATTAGGCCTCCATACTGCTATACAGGCTCGGCGGGGTGGCGCATCGTGCTAAGGGTTTGGAATACTCTCGCCACCGCACCTCTGTGAATCCCATGCGGGTTGGTTATGTGCGAGAGGATTGCTGAACTCCCCGTCGTCGTAGAGTGGTTAAGATAACCGCTAGTGACTGCCTTCTAAACCACCGAGTCCATGCTTTCAAAAACAAATATCTGGTTAACTTATCTCATACGCGACATGGACTGGTAACAGGACGAGAGGCCGTTGGTCGCCATATGATTAAGCCGTTTCATCGCTTTTCCTCTCCCCCGGGATAAATATGTAAATCTTACCCTATACAGACATACCAAACAAGAAACCAATTCTCAAATATATATATATAGACACGAAAGCCAAAATGAAGTAGTATTAAATCTTTTACAGTATCGGCAGCCTTCCATATCAAGAAGATTCCAACTGACCACCAGATCACTAGTGATCGCGGAACCGCCACATGGTGCGCAATGTTGATGACGTCATCACCTAATATTTCAAAAGAGTCCACACTGGAAGTGATATTCTTCTAGCAACAACGATAATCTTTAATTTCAAAATAATTGTTGAAGAGGAAAGCGATTTGCCACAAGAACTATGACAACAAGACGAAGAAAATATTGTTAACAACAGTAACACTTACCTCTTTTATAACTTTACCCGGGTTATTAATTAGTTCTCCACCATCAATAATATGAATTTCACTTCTGTTATAGACTTTGTACCACCTATAAAAATGAATTGCAATTTGATCTATAGCACATCGCGCAATGCTTTCCTTTACACATTATAACTACTAATATTTGGTTACAGATGATATGAATGAGTAGAGTAGATTGTGTAAAGTTCATCGTTAATAAATAGGGTGACCATATAAGTCTTAAATTTTTTTTTTAAATGGCGAAGGGAATTTATCGAAACCATATATTGTTTTGGCTCTCGCGGATATATTAAATAAAGTAAAAATACCTAAAAACAATTACTGGTTACAAACAAAAAACCTCGTTAAGACATATTGGGAACTGACTTCATAACAAAATTGAAATTGTAAAGGGACTCTATGGACACTCTGTATATTCATTCTATATCAGATCATAACTAGGCGTAGTCGGCCTCGCTCCAGTACCATCGTGCATGTCCATTGGACACCGAAGTCATTTTTTCCATGTCTCACATTCAGTAAACGAAATCGTATCAAAGGTTTTTCAAATCCCATGCATAATCAGATTCATTTAGATGAATTAGTTTTAAATTGTGTCAAATCATTGAAGTATATATTTGAATAGTACAAAGTTTAAAACGTGCAGATCGTATTTTTGACCTAACCCTGACATGTTACATACGACGTTCCGGTGTCCGCCATCTTGGTGCACATACTTCTGGAACGCCTTTGTGTCAAGTTCATTTACCGAATAAACGACATTACGATGGTTGTAAAGTGGTTTTATTCATTTTAAATATTCAAGAATTTACGTATATAGAGAGAACAGTTACCTTAATAAGTGATAGTAATACAACCCGGTGGTCAGTACATGAGACGTGGTATAGTCTTCGAACATTGCAGCAATGTATTCAATCTGCTCTTCATCTTTGTCCATGCGTTTATTCAATTGATACGAGTATTGAGCCAAAAGCGACTCGGTAAGAAAGTCGAAGCCTGCGGCCCGTGACGCGTGTCCCAATGCGACCTAAAATAAAACTCCTAGTTATGAAACCAATCGTGGATTGTAGTCTTATATTATTTAAAGGACAATTTCCAAAGAACAATATTCGAACCATTTGAGGTTAAGTAAAATAAAATGTTTCACTTGTCTTCAAATGCTGATTTATAAAAAACATATATGAAGCAAACGTTTACTAAAAGATATTTGGCACTCCAGAAGTATGTGATGTATCTGTATGTGAACCAGATGGCGTACAAACTGATAACCATAACCTGGTGCACATACTATGTTCGGGTTGTGCGCCATACTGGTGCACATACTTCGGTAGCACCAGATATTTTTTTTGAAACTTTGAAGCAGAAGAACTTCAACGTGTAAACTTAAACCACAATAAAAAATAACAGTAAGACTGTAACAACTATTCCGCTTGGTATATCTGGTGTACTCAGATATAAAATTAAGTTTATATTATATTTGAAGCAAGTGTTCAACTAAAAAGATAAGTTATTTTGGGGGAAATTGTAACATGTTACTGAAAAACAATAAAAACGTGGGAAGATGAAAGAAACCATGGCAGCAGCAGAAACTGATAAAAAAAAAAAACGCGCAAAGAGGCGACTGGAAGCATCTAGCGCCCATCAACAGCCTAAACTCCAAAACTCTCATTTGCAGAATATAATCGGTATGATTATTCGAATCGGCTCAAAGAAATATTTCGAATTGCCGCAACCTTGTTGTTTTATTTTTTTTTTGGCCGTCAAAGGTCCAGGTGAATTCCTCATTTTTTTTTATAGAATGCAATTCTGATATATGACTCTTTTCATCCTAATACGTTATTGATGAAATTTGTTTTTTTATTGTGTGTGAACAATCAGCGAACTGTGAAGTGAGTGAAGGTTTTTATGTTTTCAGTGAATTATATGTCCGAAAGACCCATAACGAAAATAGCCCATAAAATAGCCACATTTGAACATCTTTCGGGTATTTGAGATTCGATTCGAAAAAATATTTGATTCTGCGATCATCATGTATTTAAAAGGACCAACCGTACTCACAGCTCACCTCTTGTTCGTAGTCTGAAAACACTCTGGCGGTTGGATCACACAGGACTAAGATGATTTTTGCGTCTGGGACGTCTTTCTTTATAAAATTTGGAATAGAACTATTCCAGTTGAAGTAAGCCGGTGTTTTCTCGAACAAAAGTTCATGAGGTGACACTTTCGGGAGGAAGGTCCTAAATTATAGATTCAAAAGTGTAGTTACTTATTGCTGTAGAGTTAAAAGGTTCTACAGGTCCTATTTCTGCTTATTGGGCTGTCTTGTCAATCTACTTCCGTAGCTAACTCTCGACACAGTAGTAACGCACACATAAACACATCCAACTTGTATGAAAGAACTTGTAATGAAAGTATATGTACAGTATATATACAAGTCACAGTCCAGTAAAATTCCACAATCAGGTAAAAGTTCCACAGTAGATAAATGGCAGTGTAACACAGTGAATATTTTCTCTATGCACGGTAGTGTATACTCGTACGTGAGTATGGTGTGCATATAGTGATGTATTGTATGCGTGTATTGTATGGTTACAATATATTTGTGTCTCCAGCCCAACACAGTACTTAAATTTAGCTACAAGACACAAAAACAATAAAATAGTAGTAATCAAAGAGAAAAGCGACTTTTTAAAAACGTGTCAAAGAACAAGAACAACAACAACAACAACAACATAATATTGAAACGATCGCTATGTCCACTACGTGTCCAATTAATAGGTTATTTCACTAAAGTTGATTTCTGCTTGTAACAATTGCTGTTCAAATTTTTGAATTTCTGGAAAACAAGTTCCAAACGCTTGAAGGTACAAACAAGAGAGCTATGCTCAAATATATGGACACGTAGCGCCACCTAATGGCAATAATTTTGATGACGTCATAGCAGAAAAAAAAAAGTAATAGCCTTCTGAAAAAATTTTTATCTTTAACCACTGAAAATTTCAAACCATTTGGTTCAGTAATCAAAGAGGAAAGCGACTTTTTAAAAACGTTTCAAAGAACAAGAACAAGAACAACAACATAATATTGAAACGATCGCTATGTCCACTACGTGTCCAATTATGCAAAATTAGAATGGTTGGCCAATATGAAGGTAACTAATTCTGTTTGCCTTCATCAAGTTGTGTAAAGAGACTGAAACCTATGAACAAGGGTATATTTACTTGGCTAACACAGACAGCCCCGAACTAGTAATAGAACTAAAATAACGAAAATCGGAATAAAATTATGGCCTAACCCTAACCTGGTACATTTACTACGGGAATACCTTTGATAAGATGTGCTCATCATAACGGGCATAACGATCGTTTTGTTGTTATGTTGTTTTTTGACACGTTTTGATGAAATCGCTTTCCTCTTTGATTACTGGACCAATTGCTTTGAAATTTTCAGTGAGTAAAGATTGATTTTTTTGCCAGAAGGCCATTACTTTTATTTATCTCTAAATTTCGCATGAAATCTGATATTTCGTCCAAAATTTCGCTGTATTATTTTATCAATGGGAACACTGGCTGTCCGGTTTGATTCTGTAAATTACTTCTACGCGAAACTCGGAATTTTTTGTGGGTACCGGTAGCGTCAAAGGTAAGTAGGCTACTGCTTCGCTCTGGTTAACGTGTCCATATATTTGAGCATTGCTCTCTTGTTAGAATTACCGTTATAAAGTAATCTACTTTTATAATACCTATTTAAATCGTACTTAATCGTGTATTATCTTCAAACTGAGAATATATTAAGATTTGTTTAGCTATATACTTATAAAATGCAATTCCTCTGTTGTATCGAAGTCTGTCAAAGAAATGTGGCTCTTTGTCCGAAACCTGTATCATTGGATGACTCCCTAACAAGCTTCTTAGTGCACCCGTGCCGCATTTTTCAGCTCCAATTCCGATTACATCTGGTAGGCGACTCGTCTTTTTCTAAAGTAGAAGTGTGTGAATTGGTTATTATTAATACCGACTTCAAGTAAAAGCATAAGAATATAACTCATTGAAAACTTTTAATCCAAAACGCATGCTAGTCAAAATGATTTTTGGTCAAATAAGATGAATTATAAGCAGCTTATCGTAAAAGAGATTGGAAATAAAAATTAACTTTGCATTTAGGAGAAATAGAATATCTTTTACGCTGACGGAAAAAATTGATCGTGGCTGGTTATAACATATATCTGTCCGAATAAAAATCTTTATTCGTAACAGTAAACAAGGAAAATTACATCTCAAGCTTGTGTGACTGTAAAGCGAATGGTGGAATAAACACAAAAGTACTCAAGAGTTGAATACAACTTGATATTAATCTTAGAATTTATAATCTAGTACAGGGTGGTTCAAATCCATGCCCGCGGGCCAAATGACCAGGAAAATCATTTGACATGTCGCCGGATGAGAACAAGGTGGTGTCTTGAAATTCTGAATTTCTCAATATTAAAAATTTTAGCTGGACTTAGGATTAAAATATTTAAGAAATAAAGCTAAAATTTTTATTATTGAGAAATTCAGGATTTCAAGACCACCCACCACCTTGTAGACTCTACTCTAATTTGGTAAAATTCTGTATTCAATCAATTTGCAGTTATTTATAAGTTACACTCTTGTGGCCAGCGAACACATCAAAATCCAGGTCCAAATCCAGGCCCGCGGGCCAAATAACCAGGAAAATCATTTGACATGTCGCCGGATGAGAACAGAAGTCACATTTGTGGAAAATTGCCTTTTTCATTATTTTGAGGTTTTGAGCCATGCTCCACAAGATGGTGTCTTGAAATTCTGAATTTCTCAATATTAAAAATTTTAGCTGCACTTAGGATTAAAATATTTAAGAAATAAAGCTAAAATTTTGATTATTGAGAAATTCAGGATTTCAAGACCACCACCTTGTAGACTCTACTCTAATTTGGTAAAATTCTGTATTCAATCAATTTGCAGTTATTTATAAGTTACAATCTTGTGGCCCGCGAACACATCAAAAATAATAGTGTGGCCCGCGATGCTATCAACTTTGGACCACCCTGAATTCTAGTAAACGACGTAACTCCTGTTTGAATACGATCGGTAAAAATCTTGATGCTACTTTCCAAATAGTTACCTCACTCATTCAAGCATTTATTTGTTCAATTTAGTCATATCATATAAGACTGGATAATTTATTTTAAAATGTAATATTACACAAGCGCATTGCCCGCGTGGTGAAAACTTTGGAACTAACTATGTTAGCGACCCAGGTTAAAAGATCGTAGTAAACACCACCCAACCACCTGAGATGTTGGGGCCTTTCCAAGATTAGTGTCTCCTTACGCAAACGTGGCTGTATCTACATAGCCTTGTTTGGAGATGTGGGAAAGACCAAGAAACGGCGATTTTATGCAGTGAATATTCACTATTAGTTATACAAACAATGTTATTGTATGGTTTTCTTCTATATATATAATTCAAATCGAATGTGTAATTTAATCTCAAATCCTGTCGTTACAAAATATGGCAGAAGCTCCACAGTTTCATTTAACAAGTCAAATTATGTGTGACAAAAATTGAATAACAGAAAAAAAATTGTTGTACATGAAGATGAAACGACCTACATAACTGTCCAACTCGTTCATGAATTTTACTGATGTAGCATATTGAAGAAATATTTGGTCTCGTGCTCGTTCGTTCTCTGTCTTCTCATTTTCAGATTTAAAAATCAAATTGTCTGTAAAAAAGGAACAAAGTCAGCACAATCTACTTTTGAGTAGAAAAAAATAAATTTTGTAATCAATTCACAAATTGTCATTACAGTCATTGAATTATGGTGGTTTCCTCGTAGAAATAAACCCACGCTTCGTGGAAGAAGAGAGAACATTCGAATTAATTGTTTAGATCAGTTTCCAGAAAGGTTTCCAACCTTTTTTCGATCGACCTTTAAATAAATTTTGTAAAATCTCGCGACCCGAGGACATGCTCAAATACTAAACGTCATGTAATACTTTCATGACAGCAAACAAGGACTATTACAAAACAATCATTTTTTACATAACATTTTCCCCCCAAAAATTATCCCAAAGTATGGGAACGCAGCGCAGGAACATCAGTGATTGTTTGAAAAAGGTGGCGTGGCTTTACTTACAGCAAAATGAATGCTGCCAAGTTTTTACGCATTGACACTTCCCACATCTTCAATTACTATTGGACAAGACCTTAAAACCAAATAATAAATGAAGAATAAAGTTCGCAGGAGACCCGGTTTTGGGTAGCGACAAACACTGGTTTAGAACAGTGGTTTCCACTGATTGTTGTCAAAATGAGCACTTAAGGAATTGAGAGTTTTTGATTTTTGTATAAGCGGGTATTTCGAATCTGATATCATTGCAACAAGCATATGTTGTCCCACATCTTGGTGCGCATACTCCAGGAATACGCATTTTCTGCTTATCATGCATTCGAGATAAAGCTAGTCAACTTAGTCGGCTACATGGTTGTGCTATTGGAACGAAGTTGGAGCCAGAAATATGTTGACGTAATTTTAGATAAAATTTCGAATCGACAAAAAATGCTTTGAATTTGGACAACTTCACTTACATAAAAAAGGACACAGGAAATTCTGTAAATAATTGGTTTAAATTTTATTAACCTAAAGTAGTAGAGAACTGTGTCCGGAAAATTTGCCGTAGGAATTTTGCCGCATAGGAAAAATCGAAAAAGCATTTTGTTGTAAACAAGTACTTGTGATTAAAACAGTTAGATTTATGGGGGCAGGGTATGCTCTTAAATATCGAATCTTTTTTAATTAAATAAGATGGTTTTTCATACGACGATTTTTCCTATGCGGTGAAATTTCCTGCGGCGAATTTTCCTAGAATCGCAGAGAACATATAAAGTGAACATATAAAGTGGGTCTTACTGCGGGTATTGACATTTCCACGTTTTTCATTTGCTCCTATGCTTCTCAGTCCTGTCGACATAAAAACAAAAACGACCCCAGCAGAGAGTATGAACATAAATTGTAATTTCTTAATTGAGTGACCTCGGATATCATTTTTGAAAGGTTTCAGGCCATCTGTTGAATTATCCATAACTCTAGCAATTTTGTTCAGCGTTATTCATTTAGCCAAAATCCATTTAAAATTACATATACGGATGGTGTTAAATACCACTGCTAATAGATTGAGCAAATAACAAAGAATTAATAAGGTAGCAAGATAAACCGAGCTTGCTTGTAAACGTAGTTGTATACCTAAAAATGACACAGATTTGCAAATAGGAACGAGCAATAATCGACAAAAGAGTCTATCCACAAATGCCCCAATATTTAACTCTATTTTTTGGGTGCTCCCGTAGTGTATGTAACAGGTTACGGTTGGGCCCGAATTTTATCCCAATTTTCATTATTTCAGTTCTATCACGAGTTCGGGGACTGTTTGTGTTAGCCAAGTGAATATACCCCTTGGCCATAGGCTCCAGTTCCTATACACAACTTGATGTAAAGTAGGCGAACAAAATTAGTTACTTCCATATTGGTACACACACTTCTGGAACGCCCTTTTTTGTGTGCGAGCATATAAAATTTACTTACGCTATTATCTTGTGGCCAATCAAATATTTCACGAGAAACCATACTACGTCATTTGCAATTTATCACATACATCCATATTTATGGAAATCTCTTTTGTTTACGTCTTAATAAGCCGGGTGCTGGGAATTACTGAATAAGTGGAATATACAATGCGGCACAGCTCCATTCAGAGGATATATGATAATTTTGCAATCAGAGCAGTAAATTACTTACTTCTAAACTTGAATCTACTTCTAGGCGGAGATAGCCATTACGCATGAACATTACGCTATTTTGCCTTTTGGGCTAGGATTGGGTTAAATGGAGTTACTAGTTGCGTTAAAATTGAATTCATTTTAACCAATCCACCCCGCTCTCTGCGTGTAGCTATATATGTCTATCATTCTCTCATTGTGAACACTCATCTCGCCCCATCCAAGTCCTTGCCTTACGTTATATTTACAAGCTCAGACAATCAATGAATTATTTTGTTTTCAAATGAGTAAACAATGATTTAATTTTTAATCTAAAAAATATTTTGAAGGCAATAAATAATTTTAGCACAACTGTACTTCGAACTCAAAAAGGGTGTCCTTGTTTACCAGTAGGGCTGTAAAAAAGACATACCGACCTCATTTTTACCATGAAACGTACGATTACTCGTAATCCTAACAGGGGCTTGTAGAGATTATCGTTCAAAAATCCTACAAACAATCAGGAACATTGTTATTCACTAATCAAAGATATCAGTCGGGCTTAAGCGAGACCAAACATTTTCCTTTGCTGTATGCTATTGCGCAAGTGGATCTGTATGCATATAATGCAAGGATGCTGTAGTGTGTAGTAAATATATAAATAACTATACTAGTTAGTTCAAAAGTAGATACACTGTTATTTTCCTATTGTTTTTTTTGAATACGTCACAGTCCAAGTCCCTCACTTACTACTATTCTACGTCATAATTCGGATTATGTACTTCATAATAATTCATCAGTTGTATTTTTATACCCTGAGGCAATAATACACTATTTTGATTCATGTTAAATCCCAGTGCGTTCGACCAGATTATTTATATTTTACCACGCGGTGAGAAGTTATGTCGATATGTTATTAAACTTGACCAACGGGAACACGTAGTTCTTTATATTTAATTATCTCAATAATAAATTAATAAGTGCTATCGATTGTGTTTCTACGAAACTAACTATTTCACCGTCTTCTACACTTTTGCGCCGGCGGATCCGTAAGCATATAATGCAAGGATGCTGTAGCAAGAGTAAAGATAACTATCCTGAGTGATTCAAGATTCTTGCTGCACACTAACACAAATATATTTCTGTGTAACGTTTTGTCTGACCACGGTCAGACTTCCTCAGACATACAGAGTTCAACTAGACTTAAATAGTTCAACTACATAGTTGAACTATGTATGTCTAAGGAAGTCTGACCTTGGTCAGACGAAACGTTACAGAAATACATTTGTGTTAGTGTGCAGCAAGACTCTTGATTCACTTAGAATCAATTAATTAATTAATATTCCAGTTTATATTCCTAATTTCGAGACAACAACAGTGAATATGCTATTATACATTCAACAAAATATCATCATTAATACATTATAAATGAGAAATAGTTTCGTTCCTAATTTATTGTAAAATTAAAAAGTCAATAGGCAATGTTGGGAATCTTAAAGTAGAGTATATTTTTATTGAATTGTTACCAAAATATGGCGCAGTTTGTGCTTTAACTAATTATATTCTCCAGTGAAATATCAATGAAGTTCTTATCCATATGGTTCAACACAAGTATTTAGAAATTGTAGCTGTAATCTGAATATGTAATGAAACAAGTTTGGGATCTTAAGTACAAAGCCCCCATTTCAAAAAAACATCTCCAACTCTCAAAATAGGAAAATTACTAATTATTCTGTTAGGAATGCACTGGAAATTCAAATATACAAATCATTTCTAACCCTAACCCCAACAATTAAATCACTTATTTGTTATTTTAAAAGTGCCGGGAGTGTTTTTCTCAAATCTCACTTTTGGCATTAGTGATGAGGGCGTTGTACAAAAAATCATGAGTTTAAACTAGTTACTAAATCCTGTTTTATTGAATTAGCCGCTTTAAACCAATTTGGCGACGCATCCTCTATTTTTCTCATACCCTGCACCCTAGATGCTCACTTACAAAAATATTTCACATACGATTGCTTCACGCCAACCTCGCAGATATATATTTCTTCCCTTGCAGCCACGTGAAACTAATGCTGGCGCCCCAGGCACAAAAACTAGCTAGAAGAACAACTTCATATTCAATGGCTGATAACGAAAGCATATACAGGCCTTACTGTTATATGAGTGTCGGCGTAAACTTTATTCAGAAAAGAGTGGAAATTTATGAAGTGATATTACTTATAAAGTGGAATTAGATGAGTTAAAGTATGCTTATTTCTGCGCTAGAATCAGTTATATACCGATTTGTTATTCATATTTACTCTTTATGATATCCTAATTGTAACATGTAGGTAAATTACTTTACCTGTAATTTAAATGGATAAATGTTGTTATGGTGAGCATGCGCGTTCCATACATCTCACATTTTTTAACTCTGTAATTTCACTATCTGCGACAATATGAACATGGAATACAGCAAATATTGGGCGACAGTTATACGTTAAATTAGAGTTCTTATTACAGTAAGTAATATATAGTGTAATAGTAACTTCGTAATACGCGGAATCGGCACATTACCTGGTAAGGCAAGTCATATCCTAGATAGCCCGTTACGCCATCGGTATGTTGGCTTTGGCGGACCGATGTAACATACAGTGATTGACTAGCAACTGCCTTACAGTGCCAGTCAGTATACCTGATTATACGGTTTGTGGCGTTACTTGCCTATAACGAACTATTTTAGAATACTTTCGCTCTTTCGCATGCCTTTCGGATTATCAAATATTAAGTTGGCGATACTTCCGTAGTATTAATTTTATTCTGATTTTTCTTATTTTAGTTATATTACGAGTACGAGGACTGTTTGTGTTAGCCAAGTGAATATACACCCTGCCCATAGACTTCCGTCTATTTACACAACTTGATAGTAGGCGAACAAAATTAGGCGAACAAAATTAGTTACCTCCATATTAGTACACCCACTTCTGCAGCGCTGAGTTGGCCAGGTTTACGATGCATAATAGTCTATATATATTTACACAATGTAATATTTTTGTTTTGTGATTTCTAATGCCAGCGTATTAAAAACCATACGACTAAAATGACTGCAATCAAGGCTACAGAAACATCAAAAATAGGAGTGCAAGTTCAGTCGATCAAGAATTTACAAACCATATTTTTGATCTGCGTTGGAGTTATATGTGTGTTTATACTAACAGGAATACAAAGCGGCATACAACAGCCAATTGTTGATCACTCTTTCACAAAAAATAGTAGTGAGTTAAATTATTTATTTTTCAACTCTCCCTGCTTCCCTTTATCGTCTCTCTCTCATATTTCCTATCCTATTATAATCTTGGTGGTTATTCTATTCAGCCGATCATCGCTACATTCTGTGTTAGGATGTTGATTTTATTGAATACCCTATGCCTATACTATCTTTATTGACATTTTCAGATTTGTACGTCACATCCAATGATGAGGGAACATCAGAAGTAGTAAGGGAGCGACGCGACGACTTGTTCTTGGAGTACATGAATGCAATTGGAACACTTGAGAGAATGCAGATAAATGTTCGTTTTCTTTCAATAGTTATGATTTACAAAAGAAGACTCGTGCTTCAATTACAAATTATACATTATTATTTATTTTACACTCCTTCCCCCCAAACTACCGATTTATATATATATGTCAACGAAGTGAAAATTTTCCGTGTTAATTTTGTTTACGTCTGTAGCCTGTTTTTGTTCATCCTCGCCTGAAACAATGGGTACATTCAGTTTTTTAAACGTCCAAAATCCATCTGTGTTAACTTTGTTTACGTCAGTAACATGTTCTTATTCATCCTTGTCTGACACAATGAGTCTCACGAAACGTTTTTTTCTTTAACTGTTTTACTGGCAAACAGTAATGTCTTAACAATGTAGATTTGGCTTTCTAAGATCATATTGGTTTATTTTATCCTCCTTCTGAATAAAACTGAAATAGCAATAATATTTAACTGCTATTAAAAAAGAAGAAATGCTAATTTTGATACTGCGGAGGCTACCATTAAAATTACTGACAGAACAGCAGCCAAAACCAAAAATTAATAATTGTAAAATCAAAATTACTCCATATTCTAGTGAAATAAATGTGGTGAATAAATTCAATATTTTGATAAAAATATTTTACAGAAAAAAACCAAGCGTTTACCGGATATAATTGGTATTGGCGCAGAGAAATGCGGAACGGAGGCTCTTAGGCAATTATTATCAAGTCATCCGTTGATAAAATCACCAGACAAGGAATCAAATTTTTTTGGAGGTCATAATTATGATTTAGGACCGGATTATTACAGGTAAATTTAAAATTTCATCAGTCAAATGAATAATACATAATCTTTGTGGTAGTTTATATTGCATGTGTTGGTATTTTTTATTTGTTCAGTGGCAACAGTAATTTATCTGCTTAGTCATATTTGGCATTCTTTTATCTGATTCATGTTTTGTTAGTGCGTTATCATTTCATTTGTGTAATGCTTTAAGGTGCTGCTAATGTTTATTAAAGCCTAGTGTCTGTGGTACTCATGGATTTGTTTGTAAAGAAAAAACTAAACTTAGGTTACGACAGTCTTCAATTGATCTCTTTGGTTGACATACAAATTTTTTATGGGACCCGTATTTTCGTTTTCACTTCAAAAAACCTTTACAAGCAGCCACTGATAGATAATGCTGTGCACTAAACGACAGGAATCATTTAGGTTCGGCAAAACGTCCCTAATGCATCACATCCTGATTGTAGTGGGGGACATGAGACTTGAACCCGAGATGCCTGACAAATCAACGCAGTCAAGTTTAACGCATCAACCGCCTGACCAGGGGTTCTCGACCTTTTAAGGCTCGTGGCCATTTTCCGGAGACGTTCAGCACTCGTGGTTCTCTGTTTATTATTCCAGTGGTATATAGAGTGTTATTTCGATTGGCAGATTCCAAATCCCAATATGTTCAAACAACTGATGCTCAACAAAGTGAAAACACCACGTGAAATAACTATATCAAGCAATGAAACTAGAAAGAACATGAAGTTTTCTTGTAAAGGGAAACGTAAAATCAGTTCTGTGCCTAGCATTGTGGCCCACTGCAGCCCCATTTAGGGGGCCAATGACTTCCGGTTGCGAACAGCTGAGTTAGACCAATGATTCAGGCATCGCTTGCAAATCGCGAGCAAAGCGCCTCACCCAGGGTAAATCCATTGTTTGCTGATTTCTATTTAACGACAGTACCTGGTTGATGTGGAGTCTACGGAATTATTTTTGAGCACCGATAAATACTTTACCGTAATTTTTCATAAAGAGCCATTTCAATGTGTTTAGATTTTAACCTCATTGCCAGTATATTGCAAAAATGCAAAAAAAATCAATAAGGTTTACTCACATTTGCAACTCACAAATGCATTTTATTGCATTTCAGAGATCTCATGCCAAAAGTATCTCCATACGAATTAATCTTTGAAAAGACTTCAGAATATTTTGTTCAAGGCGTATGGACACCGTATCATATGCATAAAATCCTGCCAGATGCCAAACTCATTTTGGTTCTATGCGATCCTGCAAACAGAACATATTCAGATTATGTACAAGAGGTGAGTAATTTCAAAATTATTTTTCTGAGAGAGACCTAACAAATTCAGATATTTTATTTCGTCATGCATGAAACATTGTCATCAAATATTAATAAATTAACAAAAAGAGAAAAAAAATCAAAGACACACAATGTTCCGCAATATACGCGGAGTCGCGAAAGACTATGAAGTCATCGTGTCAGCGACACCTAAATGCTGAATTACAGCAGCAGATAAAGTGAAATAACTGGGTTTAAACATACAATACTAACCCTACATACTAACATACTAACCCTAACATAGAAACAACAACGATATATTATAAATAAAATATGAAAAGCCATAAGGATTTATAGGATACCGGTTGACGGGCGCAATGGCGCCATCAAGCGAACAAAAAGTCCTCCTGGAAACTTACCTTCAAGCTATGCTGCCAAATATTGAGCAATATACATAGAAAAATTAAATGTTTAGTTAGACATTATTGGACACAAAATGGACCTAGTTTATTTTGTTATTAAGTATTTGTTAGTATTCATTTTTTTTCTCGTTGTCATTTCTGTTGATGTGAAAAAATCGCTCTTCGCTTTAACTACGAGATCATTCGCTGAAAATTTCATTGGGCAAAGATTGTTGTTGTCACCAGAAGGCTATTACTTTTTTTAATTCAATTCAAAAATGTCCGAGATGTCTATGGGATTTGTTTTTCACTTCAAACTTTTGTGTGATAACGTCAACAAATTTATAAATTCCGCAACGTGGTGAGGTTCTGTGGTCGCATTTTATCGATCAGGTGCTCAGCGAAGTTGGGGTCCATTTGGTTAGGCAGGCAGGCCACCGGTATATAATAAGAATATTTGATATTACCCCGTTTCGGCTTTCGTGTACATATATTTGATCATTGCTGTCCTGTTTTATTATTGCATCAAATTACGTCATCAATTGTTTTATTTTTCAATTTTTTGATATCAATCGACAGGGTTATTGAATGACATAGCTAACTATATTTTCTGTTACTGTTATCAATTTTAGATTAGCAATGGTAAAGTGGAGAGTACGACAAGTTTCGATGAGCTTATGGGAAATCTCCTAACTTCGTATTTGTCAAGTTTGAATTATCAAAAAGACGACGATGATAATCAGATCCAATACATTTCCAAAATTAGAAAGAAACATCCTGCTTCGGATATTCTAACCACGGGAATGTATTACTATCATTTATTAAAGTGAGTACATTATTCTATGATATTTTCTTTACAAATCAGATATAGTTCTTAGAAAAAAAGATTCACGATATTGGTAGTCAACGTCAATACTTGTACTTGTTTTAAAGCGAACACCGACAAATTCATTGAATATACAATCACATTTGAAGCAGTTTATTTCATTCATATACAATTCTATGTCATTTACAAATTATTTAGCATTCTCGTGAAAAGAATTTACGATTTCGGAATCAATTGTCTAATCAAAATTTCACTGTATACCCGTAGTGTGTGTATCAGGTTAGGTTAAGCCATTATTTTATTCCGATTTCCCTTATTTCAGTTTTATTACGAGTTCGGGGACCGCCTGTGTTATACAAGCGAATATATTTTCTGCCCATAGGCTACCGTGCCACAAAACTTGATGCAATGAAGGCAAACAAAATTAGTTACCTCCATATTGGTACACACACTTCTGGATCGCCATTTTCTCCTTACGTCAGGGGTTTTCAAACTTCATTGGCCGCGGGCCAAAATTAGAACCGAAAGGATGTTCGCGGGCCGGAAGAGTGTAGCGCCCAAAAGTGCTCGACAGTTTAGCTGGGGTTCGGTGGATTCACTTTTATTTTAAATTTTTTGAAGCATGTTTGTTTGACTCTTCGTGGCGCTTAATGTCATATTCTTCAAAACTGAAATAGTTTGTTGGCAAATAAGACAAATCGCTAAAGTTCAAATTATTTTCAGTGAGGAAATAAAAACGCTGTCATTTATCAAAAAAACTGCTGTTTTCAATGTCTAGTTTTCGTTTGTGTTTTGACATCTCTAAACTTTCATAAATGGCTGATAACTGACCTTCTGCCCTATGTAATCCTAATACCGGTACGTATAATGGAGATACCGCTATATTTGAGAATAAAATTATAGGATGAGTATATGAGAAAAAACAAAATCTGTTGAACACTTTTTTCACTTGAGCTCGGCGGGCGATTTTAAATCATTACGCGGGCCGGATTTGGCCCGCGGTTTAGGAACCCCTGCTTTACGTCAACGTTGAATGTTGTCTAGGGCCTGTTTTAAAACACAATGCAAATAAAGATATTGAATATGCAAGAACGTATCAAGAAGTTCCATTCATGGAATTCTATGAAATTTGAAAATCATTCATCCTATTTCACACTGAAATAACGAGAAGGTTAATCTCTTAATATTACCATCAGGTGGTACAAGTACTACAACACGAGTGAAATTCATATTGTGGATGGCGAAGAACTGATGCACAATCCAGCAAAAGTAGTCAAAGAGGTAAGAGCCGTCAGTAACTTTTAAACACCGAGGTTTCGGGTTGTGATGGTGATGCAATCAACGAACGCAAACCCAAGTGGAATGTTTATATCACTGGCATTGTTAAGAATTTTCTTACTTGAAGGGAAAGCTATCAAAAACGTATTGTTGAATACAAACACACATAGGGCGTTTTAAACAAATAAAATATCCCGACATCTTTGTTGTATGATTCAATGATGTTTTGTATCAATAAGCTTGGTAATATCAGGCTCGTCGTATTTTTTGTGACGATTAAATTCTCATGATATCAATATACACATAAAAATAAGCGCAACTTCCATTTGATTCCAGATTGGTTTGGTTATTGTGTCTTTAAGTACAACCACCAATTTATGAATCAGTGTATCTTGGGGGAAGAGCACCAAAACTTGACTGTGTTGAAACGTAAAAATATTTTTTCGTTTTGAATGAATCGCAAATAAATGGGCTAACTAAGATCGAAATAAAAGACGAGACGTTCCAATAAGTCATGAGAAAATAGACACGTGCCAAAGATGAGCACCATTAAATGATGATACTGTATTCGAGCTTGGGCTTTCGGCCTGAAGCAGATACATTCTCTCGAAACTCATTGTTGCATGCGTTTTAAAACCATAATCTTGGCTTAATTACCAAATTAACATATAAAATTTTATTGTAACTTGCGGTGTCAAATTAAAGTTGCAAACCACTTCAGCTAGGCACTAAATACTTTGTATTTATTTTTAGCTCCAGGCATTTCTTGGTATTCCGGAGTTCTTATTACCAGATGATATAACTCAGGGCCCAGATGGATTTTACTGCTTCTCTCCGCCGTTTGTTGTTAATATTCAAGGCAAATTGAGAGTCAATACAACCAAGCCAAAGTGCTTAGACAGGGATACTAAAGAGGTGGCAGCAAATACCAATCACGGCACACCATATCTCGAAGCTATGAAAAAAATTAAACGATTTTATTTACCATTCAACCAGAAACTTTTTGAGTTATTGGGTAAAAAATTTCATTGGTAGAAAGTTGTATAACTATCTACGAGAAAGTTTTGCATCCCGCCCCGATATGTTGCTCAGTCAAATAAATTAAATTATTTTTAATACGGAGTGTTTCAAAAGTCCTGGATCACGCTTTGTCGAATTCTATGGAGATCCATCAACACAACGAAAGTAACAAGCAATTGCTCCGTGGTAATCCAACCACTTTTTAATTACATGTAATCAGTGGCGTGTCAAACTTTTCTGCTGCCCGGGGCGAGTTTCTGATAATGCTGCCCCTTATACCTTACACCAAAAATAATTCATGGTACAAACAAATTATAGATGCTGTTATACGTGGGAATACATATATTAAAGGTCAAGTGTAAGTAAAATGTTTCTAATATTATTATTTAATTCACCAAACTCACCCCTATGACGTTCTGCCCGCGGCGGCCGCCCTTTGGCCCCCTCTAGACACGCCACCACATGTAATCATATGTTATTTGCAGGAGATCGTACCGTTTAAGAAGTTTGAGATATAAACATTGATAAAGTATTACCATGCCCTGCTTGGTAACCGGACGAGGGTCCAATATCCGTCTGATCGGTTTACCAGAGAAGAATATATATATATATATATATGTAAGAATAAACGTATGTCCAGTTTTATATTAAACCTGGACTTTTCTTGACAAATGAGTGTATTATTAATTATATATTCACTTTTTGTGTGAACTATTTACCTCATTAGCGATTATTCAATCCATTCAAATACTCAGCGATGTGGCGCGTCGTGCTAAGCGTCAGGAATACACTTGCCATCGAACCTCTTATTACCGTGTTCGCATCCTGTGGTGATAATTATGCGCGTAAGGATTGCTGGTCTTCTCGCCGTCGCAGGGTGATTCACGTAATCGCCTGTCGGTGATGGCTTCCCAACAATCTATAGATTCTCTAAGTTCATCTGAAAATAAATACCTTGCTAACTAATCCCACACCCATAATGAACTGGTAACCGGGCGAGAGTCCCTGGTGCGTCATGTATTCAAACCGTCTATTCCGCTTTTTCCCCGCAGGATAATATGTAAATCCTACCCCACCCTTTAACAGCTATACACTGTCGATGGTTTTGCACGAAAGGCCTATTTTAAAGGCCTGTGAGTTTATATTGAGTCAAATCGAATGGGTAACTGACTCCAGTGGAGTCATATGTGTATGCGAGATAAATATTCTTAAACTATATGCGATCTAATAATTGAATATAGTTTGGAATGTTGGAATCTGCTGTATTTATTGGCACACTGTTATAATTACATATGTTATGTATGCATGAAATTGTTCATTGCACAAAATTTCTAGTTGGTTATTTTTTTAATAAAAAAAAAATGAGCGAATTCTTTAAAACGTTTCTTTTCATTTTACTAATATGTGACCTCAACAATGTTATTTCGACAGAATAAAAGTGAATACAGCAATAATGGTATTATTCGTAGATTCATGAAGCCTTATGTTTATGTTACAGCGACTATTATTTTTCAAACTATTAAAAAGTACATTGCATCCCGGACATCATTTGCCTTAGTAACCTACATTTATAGGATCCATGTAGATTAACAAAGAAGGATACGAAGAGTGTTATCATGCGCATCAAAACTGAAAATTGGATATCTGATCACCCGTATGCACTCTCTAATACTGCTATTTACTGTTGCAATTCAGCCGTCCTGTAAACAGTAGTCGATTTACGCAGTGGCAGCAACAATTATCGGATTCTTAAACATTACATTTATTTTCCATTGGTGCCTCTCTGTAACAGAAAAACTCCCTGCAGCTGGGTAGAATTGTTTGCTTTTACGCGTGTATTGGTAATAAACTTTATATACATTATCATTAGTACATAGCTAGAGAATCAAGAAAGATGTCAAACATTGAGGATTTACAAATTACAAAGTTATCCAACGTCCTCGTGGTTTTTAGGTTTATCGATGTTAACGCTGGCTTGAAAAAACGTTAAGAACTCATCTAAAGCTATTTGGGGGGTTATATGCGTTAGTTCAAAGCAACGTTAATGAATCTCGCTTGTTAATTTGGAGCAGCAGATTCTTTTTAAAAAAATACTTACGTTTGCAATGTACAGTATGAGCACATCCGTGTTGGGAAAGTGGGTTACTACAGAGTTGCAAGTATTAGCCACGAACTCAGCAAAAAGTAACAATTATCTATTGCAGCCCTTTGTTGCTCATTCCATTTCACCATTTTTATTGAAACTTCAGTGACCTCGACAGTGGGCGTGCTCTGTTTCAGTTGAAATATATCTCGATACCTATTTTTCCTCGTCGCGATACCGGGATTAATTTCTAGAAAATCCCGTGATCTCAAGCAAGAAAGATATTCAAATGACTAAATGATTTCGCACAATCAATGTCCAAATCTACTCGAACCTTCAACAAAACACACAATTGTGTGCAATTGTTTCGTTGCAATCATTTTATCTATTTTGTGTTTGGTTTTGGAAAGCGCAACTCTCATATCATGTGCGACACCTAGTCTGTTTCAGTATTTGATATGGAGTAGAGTGGGAAAAGCTGCCTCGCAATCGTAGGTTGTTGCGAAGGGAATGAGCACTTCCAGAACCATCTTTGCAAGATCTAGGAATTTTCCAGAAATCATTACCTGGTGGTAGCCTGATGTGTAATGCCAGACTGAAAGATAAATGGCGTCGATGGAACGACAGTGGCAAAATAAAGTAAAAATCACTTTGTATCGATAGAGGCTACTTGTTGTTTCAGTTTCAAGCTCGGACATCTCTGAACATAGAAAGCTATGGTTGGGAATTGTGATGCTGGCAAACACTTTCACTTGTTCCGTTCGGATCTGACCGCCGTCGGGTGCGGACGTATTGAAGGATGGAATATTTCTAGCTAGAACTTTGATGGCAAATCTACGTCGTACCGGCAATAGTATTTAGAATGGAAACATGCAGTGGTGAGATTCAGCCGGTTCGCACCGGTTCTATAGAGGACTTTCACGGGTCACGTGACTTTGTTTACTGAACGGCAAAAAAACAAAAACGTCTATTTGGCTCATGTCAGTTGCAAGTCGGATTATACGTTTCCGTTTAGTTTGGCTGTTGAAAATGATTATTTCGTATTCTTCCGTTGGCTGTACGAATAGTATAGACAACGAAAACGAAATGGATCTTCAGTTATATTCCACTATTTTCGAAAGATCCGGAACGTGGCGCAATGTGGATATATATCATCTATTGGCAGGACTGCTTGGTGTTGAGTCCAGAAACCATCTCGCCTGTGTTTCACTGTTTGCGGACAGCACTTCGTTGATGGTGAGTGATAATGTGCCGTTATCAATTTCTTTAAATATTCATAAGCTTCCTCCTTTCAATGGAAAGCAGATGATAAACTACTGTTATTAGTAGGCGTAGGCCTACTTGCAGACTTGACTTGTGTAAAGAATTAATCATCAATTGTCATAAGGTATTGTTTTCCTAGTTAGCAGGTGATCTATTAGTAAGTGTGAAAAGTTGAATAGATAACTAAAGTTTAACGCCAGTGGTCATGCAAAAATAATCAGAATTCCATTGAATTCTCCATCTAGGAATACGCTCGCCACCGCATCTATGATCACCCTGGTAGTTTCACAGGTTCCAATCACATGCGGGGATAGTTATGTGCGAGAGGATTGAAGCTTTCCTTCCACTGAGGGTGGTCCACACGACCGCTGGTCGATAACGACATCCCCCACCATCAAGTCCATGCTTCTGAAAACAAATCACTGGCTAACTAATCCCAACATTTTCCAATTTTTTCCCTCAGCATGGCGTGTTTTTGAACCTTCAAACATCTTCACGCCGGTGTTTATTCTTCCTAAATCAAAAATTCCCCTTGGCATATACATGTATAGTTACACAATGACGACGTTAATTGCTTTTTTGTTCTCGTGGGGAATTTTGAGTTCAATGTGAAAAACATGTTACCATATTATAGTCATCGGCGGCGAAATGCTCAAAATAATAATTTTTGTTGGGCGTTGTAGATGTCAATCAAAGGGATAATTTCCTGTTGGGGCGTTTATGCCACCATTCTCTGCGGGGTGAAATTCAATACGGCTCAATGTGTCGGCCGCGATATTCAATGCTCCGGCAATAAGTTTTACTGTGAAATCGAGAGTTGATATGTATTCAAGCTGACGGGCTTCCCGTTGGATTAATCGCTCTTTCGGACTTTGAATAGCCTGTACCAGGCTTTTGGAGTCGGAGATTAATTGAAATTTCCTGCCTGTCAATTCATGTCGAAAATATTTGATGGATTCAAAAAAAGCGAAAAGTAGCTAAACGAGAATAAGTTTTCTGAGGGCCACGGAGGGCTCTTGAGAACATTCCCAGAGGTCTACATTGATTATGTTCAAACATTTGTAAAACGCCTGATATTCCAATGTCAGAAGCGTCAGTAATTAAAGAAATAGGCGATTGGTGATTTGGGTGAACCAATAACGTAGCATTGGCTAAAGCATATTTAATGTCATCGAAAGCTTTCAAAGATTCATCATTCCATTTGATGCGAGATGGTTTACTAAGCTTCCCAACTGTCATCTCATTTAAAGGTTGTATAATGGTAGCAAAACTCTTTATGAAACGATTATAATAGGTACAAAGACCAATAAAAGATCTCAATTCTTTCAACGTATTCGGTTGAGGATAATACCTCCACCTTATCGGCTAAGGGCTGTATTCCTTCGGGCGTGACATGATGGCCTAAAAATTTAATTTCTGATTTGTGGAAATGGCATTTATCTGGATTTATAGTCAGTCCATATTTGTGTAAGCGTTCTAGAACTCGATCTAGTGTTCTGAAATGCTCGTCTTCTGTTTTGGTTGCAATAAGAATATCGTCGAAAAATACAAATATATTTTCAATGTTCGCTGAAACTTCAGTCATGAAATAATTGAAGGTCGCTGGGGCAGATGCTAATCCGAAACAAAGGGTTCTAAACATGTACATCTTGTTGTTGCAGGAAAAGGCTGTTTTTGGTTGATCCGATTTCAAGATAGGTATATGAATATAAGCTTTCGTGAGATCAAGTGTAGTGAAATGACGACAGCCATGCAATTTATTGACAAAATCGTATAAATGTGGTACGGTATGCTTTTCCTTGATCGTGATTGAATTCAAAAGTCGAAAATCGAGGCACAGCATAATAGCATTTGAACCGTAGTAAATTTGTAACACGGCTATCATGGTTGGGTGAAATGAATGAAGCAGCAATTGTCGGCATAATAGTTCTAGTGCCTTTATTGTAGTGTTGAGAGCGTGGATTTTTCAATGTAGATGAACTCACATCGAGTAATAAATTGTATTTTGTCATGAATTCAATGCCAATGATGGGAGTTCGTACTTTTGCGATTTGGAATTTAAAATTGTGTGTAAGGCCATCTCCAAAATCAAGGGTTAACAACCGAGTTCCATACCACGGTATCTTCGTACCATTGACGGCATAAAGAGAATGACTAAGTGGTTTCTTTATAAAAGTAGGTATAAAATCAACCGGAATAATTGAAAAGAATGAACCAAAGTCGACAAGAAATCGATTCGATTTATCAACTATGTACATAAGAGAAGTCGTTTGTTGCCATGCTGAGTTTGATGTTGCACAAATTTTATCGGGAGTTCGACAACGTTGACCCAACTTTATTGAAAATTTTGAGGAGCCATTACACATCCTTCACCTTTGCATTTGTAAGCTTTGTCGGCAAAGGTCGCGTGATAGTAGCAAAGATTGGGGTCTGCGTTTTGTTGAGAATTGTCCATTGGCGGCCCATTATTGTGTCGAAAAGGCGGACCGTTGTATTCCGGGGGCGGACCACGATATTGGCGGTCGCGTCTAGGTGGTCCCCTCGAGTCGTTGTATTTCTGAGGTGGTCTGTCTTAGTAATCGTTGCGTCTCTGGTAATCATTTCGTCTGTGCTGACGGTTGTAATTTGGGCGGTATGTTTGCTGTTTTTCCTGTGCCACCTTGTCTAACTGAGTTTTTAGCTGTTTAATTAATCTCTGCCAATAATTCTGAATAAGCTCCTGTCTAAGATCGTGGTGTTGTATTTGAAGCAGTAGCGAGGTCTGATGCGGAATTTGTATCCCAGAATGTTTCTGCCCTGTCTACAATCTGAGTCATGGAGCGTTTCATTCAATTTTTTGAAAACAGTCGTCTAACAAAGACTGCCACTGGTTCTGGTACAAGTTGGAAAAAATAAAATCGTAGCAAATGTTCAGGAATCGGGCTTTTTGAATCATGAGAGGCTAGTGAACGGCAAATCAAGTTGTATATTTGTGTAGGCGTCATATTCTTGCATTTAGGGCCTAATGCCTCGATTTGGTCGATGAAATCTAATTCGAAAAGTTGTTTGATAGCGTCAATGAAGTTATCATAATCATCCTTAGTTATTTTAGTGTCTCGGCGTAGCATAAATTCCTCCATTCTAGCATACTGGTCTGATGTAAAACTCCGAATTACATATTTGAGCTTGAAACCAGGGTCGCTGATTCCGAAATATGTGAATGATGCAGTAATATTATCAATCCATTGTCTAACTGCGTGTTCCCAATTAGGCTCGCGTTTGTTCGAGGTCAAAAATTTTATATAGTTGTTAGGCAACATAGGCATCTCACTATTCGAAGAGGCAGAAGAACTGGATGATTGTTGTGTGTTGTTGTGTAGAAGAACTGGATAGTGGTAATGATGTTGAAGAATTTGATGATGGCGGTATTGTAG